CGTGAAAAAGTTGGGGAAAACTACTTGTATTTCCATTGGAAGAAAATAAATGAACTGGGATAAGAATAAAAAGTGAAGATGGTAAAAAACTGAAAATTTTCCTATCAATAACAATAATTGAAATAATAAATAATTGAGAGAATGAATATTCATGGATGAAAACTGGTCAAACTTTCGCTTTCTTTGAAAGCAACAGCTGAGAAACCTTTGCAGAGGAAATGGATAGAAAAGAAATCTACCAAATATGGGAAACAAACCAAATCCAAAAAGTAAGAATCAACCCACACATGATAAAACTCTTTGTATACAATTAGCAAATGAGATTGTTTAAAAAGGGGGAATCCAAAATCTTTAAGTAAAACCAACACAGTAGGAAATTTTGGAAGGATTGAAAGAAACAGCAAGAATGAAAAGATGAAGGGAAAAGCCGAGGTGACTGGAATTACAAATTGGCAAAAGGAAAAATCTGAGATGTGCATGAAATTATATTAGCAATAGTTGAGGACTGTGTAGAAATGGAGCACATGCTTGTTGATAAGTTCAAGGATGAACAGTGAATTGATTTGAGGAAAAGAAAAAATTGCATGGAGAAAAATTCAACGAAACAAATTTATGATTATATTTCATTGCATTTTATATCATAAAACACCATTCTAAAAGATCAATCTCCGCGTATTCAAAAACGTGGGATTGTTGAGTGGATATTGAATTCAAAGACAGCACAAGAAGCTAGCAGCAATTAAATTACAATGACAAATCATGGGTGGAAAAAGAGACAAACGGAAAAAGTAACTCACGAGAGAAGATCATTATAAAAAATTAAAAAAAAAGCTCAAGAATTCAAAACCAATTTGGCAAATTGCAATACAAAAGTTAACCAAAGAAAGAGCTTGAGTGTGAAATCAAATCAAAGAATTGGGGTAGAAATTGTCTTTTTCAATTCGAGAAGAATCATAAGAACAAGATCCCGTGAATTCACCCGTTTTAAGAATGAAGAAGAACCCTTCTTCACCTTCAATGGGAATTCAACAAGAACAAAACTATACTCCAAAAAAATTGATGGAAGGCTAACAAGAAAAAACAAAAAGGACCAAGAGAATTGCCGCTTAGTAAAAAGCAAAAAAGAAAAACACAAAATTTGCAATGACCCATCTGAGAATTGAGGGTGGAGGCCCTTAGGAAAACCTGTTTTAACACAAGAAATATATATATATAGATATATATATATATATATATATATTTGTGTGTGTGTGTGTGTGTGTGTGTGTGTACATGTATGTATGAGATTGTACCTGAAGGAGAGGATGGGAACGATGAGAAGGGAGGCAGTGAGGGCAGATACTAAGGCAACAGAGCAAGCAAAAGACATTCTTCTCATTCTTCCTGCAATTTTCATGGAGTCCACAAGCCCCAAAAAAGGTCTGTGCCATTAATCCCTCAAGCCATGCAGGCTTGACCACCATGTTCATCAATTCATCAACATCACCTGTTGTAGTGCTACTGCTCTCTTTCACCATTTTCTTGGGGTTGTTGGTGTTTTTTCTTTTTCAATTTGTTTAAAGAGTTGCAATTCCAACGAGAAATGTTTTTGTACGAGTTCAAATTGATTTTTGAAAACCCTACCAAAAGGCTTTTACATGGTTTACTTGGTGAGGTTGTGTAGTATATTTATATGGATACATACACACAGCAGGTTCCAGAATTATTGTCGTTTATAGAGAGCACTGCTGCTCTAGAGCGTAGAGTGAGAGGGTGAGTGGCAGAAGAGTGAGAGTGAGAGAGAGAGAGAGAGAGAAAGAGAGAGAGAGAGAGAGAGAGAGAGTATATATGTCTTTTTTTATTTTTGATTTTTTGAAAATCAAGAATACCCTGATGTAATTAATCATATACATATTTGCATATTTTGAGAGAAAAATTTTATATATTTAAATAAATAAGTGATATTTATATACTGGTAAATAGTAGAGTTTAGAAGAAAAAAAAAAAAAAGAAGCAAAAACACACAAAATATAAAATTCAACTCAAATTTTTGTCTTTATAAATTATATGAAAACGATTATTTTTTTAATAAAATAAAAGTACAATTTAAGACTCACGTTATGCATAAAAAAAATATGGTGTTAATTGAATTTATATTATTTTTAAAATATATATATATATTTTTTTTCCCTTATAGAAAGGATTGGGGGTAGTGCAGAGAGAAGGTAATGGCGGGAAGGCATGCAGCCCACCAATGTGTACCTTTTCTTTGGGGTCTTATGGCTCTCCGTATCGGTACCATACCCTACGCCTCCTTTATTTTCGCCACACCTTTTTTTTTTTTTTTTTGTTACGAGCACTCCCTCCATTACTTTTGCCACCCACCTCTTTTATTTCTCTTCTCTTCTCTTCTCTCTTTCTTTCTTTTACTAATTTTATACTTTAACCCCATCCCATCCCATCCCATCCCATCCCAAGTTCAATTTTTACCTCTCCACAACACGCTCTAATAATATTTAAACAACCATTTACAAATGTACAAAGTTATCCCAATGGATTATATCTTTTAGATTTTGTTTTACCCTTTTATTCTCACATTCTTTAATTTAAAGTAAACAATCATATTGTTAACCTTATAATATCCTAAAATATAATATTATTTAATTTTTTTCATCTTAATATGTCTATTATTTTTATTTTATTTTATTTATGTACCGTTAAATTTTTAATAATTTAATTATTAATATTAATAACGTCGTTAACAGTTCAATAAATGATGAATTAAAATCATACATGTCAATGATCAAGTCGTTTATATTAGGCATGATTGATGGTTAGTGAGAGTTAGTGTCTGAGAGTCGAATGACTAAAAATTTAAAATAAATTATTAAAATATATCAAAAAATTATATAAGAACTTAAATTAAATATTGCTGAGAGTTATAAAGTATTTAACATATTTGTAAATATTTAACTTTTATAATTAAAATTATCTTATAAACTTATAAAATTTAACTTTAAATAAATTTATACAAAAAATATTTTAACAAATATATTTTAAAATATTTTCTTTATTTTTTAAAAAAAATTAAAAAGAATTTATGTTACTAGCTAACTATGTATGAATCATATACATATAATTCATGGTCTTAACTTTTCGGTTGTGCTCCATTTATAACTTTACTAAAAAAAATATAAATAAAAACTAAAGAAAAACAAAGAATTGCACGTTTGACTTTTATTTATAATTTTTAATTTATTTAAAAATTACAATTTCAAAGTTTTACTAAACTTATAAAATTTATTATTTTTAAGTGTTACAATGCATAGTGTTTGATTTAGTTGAAAATATAATTTGAACTCATTAGTTTGCTAGTGAAATTTAGTAATTCTAATGAAATATAACATATTCAGATTAAAAAATAAATAATTAATTAATTTTTTCAATTGGGATAACTCAATGAACTAAAAAATGCAATATAATTTTATTTTTATTTTTATTAATTTCTTGTTCAATTCAATGCATGTGTTAACACTGCACAAAAATATATTTCATATTTCTTAATTATTTTTTTATTTTTTTTTTGGTTATGCAATTTGAATTAACAAAAATGATAAAATAAAAAATATGGTTCAAATATGTTATAAGTTTTGTACTATTATTTTATATATTTTATTTTTAAATTTTTAAATTTTTATTGATTTAACCCTCATAATTAATTTTTAATTTTATTACGTCATATCATAATTTTGATACATCATCGATCACATTCTTAATGGTTAAAATTTTTTGAATAACAGTTAGTAATAATAATTGAATCGGTAAAACAAAAAGTAAATATCTAAAATAAACCAAAGTAGTATTAGAGGTTGTATGAAAAAAAAAAAATCAAACAGTATAAAAGCTCATTGAATATTTTTGCCCATTTAGCATGATTATTTATGTGAATATTTTGTATTTGCACAACTACTTAATTAATAATAAAATGGATTAGAGGGTAGATTTAAGATTGTCTTAAATTTTAATTTTATAAAATAATAACATAAATACAACAAAAAATAATAATAAATTAAATTAGGACTTTAATTTCAGTCTAATTACATTTCCAATTCAAATTATGTGTTTTCATAATTTTTCATTGACGAATGGAAAACAAATTCCATAATTATGAGACTGAAGACATAGATAAAGTTATTTTGCTTATGCATTAAACTTGTAAATTATAAATAATTTTAACATATTAAATAGCTGAATTTTGGTAATTGAATTATAATGTAACAGGTTTGAACCAAATACGACATTTTAATATACTCTGGCAAAGCAAAAAAATATAGTCTGATAATACAATAAGAAAATTCTTATAACTATAATTTTCTTTTCATACAAAAGCTTTGAATTCTAATGTTAGGCCTTTTTAAAAAAAATTAAAAAAAAATTATTTAGCGATCCATTAATTTTTTCCCAAACAAGCCGTAAAAATTTTCTTTTATTTTCTGTTAAATTGACTGTACTAGAATTTTTGAAAAAAATTATAAATTTTGAACCAGTTTATAGTGAAAAAATATTTAAATTTTGGACCAATTAATAATTTAAAAAATATATATTTAAAATTAAATAAAAAATAGATCAAAATTTAAAAACTAAAATATTAACTCAGTTCTAATTTTTTTCTTTTACTTCCTTTAAGTATGGGTTTGAATTTTCTAGATTAATTCTTTTACTTCCTTTAAGTATCTTATTTTTGAATTCTCCAACAAAAACAAAAAAATCAGAAGACTGTTGTTTACATACTGTCTAAAGTACTTTATGTTTCAACATATCAGTGTGTCTTTAATTACTTCCTCTTACAAATTCCTTTTTCTCATTATTCCAAATTAAAATACAACAATTAACTTATTATTGGATATAATTTATGATTATAATAGTTGGCCTACATATACAAAATAATAATTGTATGTTGAATATTATCACAAAGTGATGTCCATTTAGAGTAATCTAATAAAGTTTAAGACAGACTTTGCAATATCTCATAAACAATAGTATTTTAATATATAGATACTAAAAATTTCAATCTCCGATTTTATGATGAATCAAATCAGAAGATAGAAAAATTATACAATTAAAAATAGTTATGCTCCTCAAGTTATATATATGAAGAGGTATCATTTTATGAAATTTAATTAGTCATAAAACAAATAAGAATTTTGGAAAAAAAATCAATTGATTCTCTAATGAAAGTCCTCTATATACCAACTTAGAATATCAAAGCCACAAAGCTAATATTCATAGTATTTTCTATGGATTCAAGTATGTTTCTATTGTAATATTTATCTTAACTACTTATAATAAAATATTTTTATTTGATAATGATTTTCATATCTAAAGTTTAGCATCTCATAGGACATTCTAACAAGTGTGTGAGATCACTTCCATTTTGAATCATTGAGTGTCAATTTTTTTTTATATATAATTCAATATTGTGGATGTCTTCCGT